AAAAAAAAAAAAAAAAAAAATTGATTTGCTGGCTCCCTGGGTTTGTCCTATAGATTACAGCCCCAAATTGCCCAGCCTACTTCTTCAGTTCCTCTTCTGACTGACACATTTACCCACTGAAACCCACTGCCATCAAAGCAACTCCAACTCAGAGAGACCCTAACACCTGCAATCTCCGGCTGCCACACCTTACACACTGTCACCAGCACATCTTATTCTTCCGCTTGCCATACCCTTGGCCCCAGTCCCATTTTAGGCTCAGTAAATTCCCACTCATCCTTCAAGGCTGAACAGCCATTCTTTGCTTCTCCCCGTCTGCTGTGGGACCAGCTACCTCTTTCCTTGTCACCCCAGGACAGATGTAAAACAATATAGAAAGATGAGATTAATAGCAAACTGCTAAAGCAGACATTTGCTACTTACCTCTAAAACCGAAAAACCAAACTCACTGCCATGGAGTCAAATGGACTCATAGTGACCCCTCCTTAGGCTTCTGAGTCGGTATTGCTATGGAAGTAGATTGCCCAACCTTCCTTCCAAGCAGTGGCTGGTGAGTTTGAACCTCCAGCCTTCTGGTTAGCAATCAAGTGCCTTAGGCACTATGCCACCAGAGCTCCCTTACTCACCTCTAGCCAACTGTTACATTATTTCAATACAGATCCAGAGTTACAAAGTCTGATTTTTCAAGCAAAACCAGAATCCTGAACATACACATATTCATTCATTCAACAAGTATTTATTGAGCACTTACTATGTGCCAAAAGGTACTTTTATGCAGTTTTGATTCAGAGTCAAAAACATACCAAAATGCCTGCCTCTTGGGGCTTATATTCTAGTTGATGAGTGAGAGGAAAACCAAAGGCTAACCAAGACAAACAACTGAAATACGTATGTAAGAGAAGGAAAAGTGCCAGGGAGAAAAAATAAACAGGAAAAGGAGAGGGGGCCATCCATGTCTTGAGTTCAAGGTAGACATTAAGGCTTGCAGTATAAATGTTTAATGTTATTTTCTAAAAATGTAAATACTATGAGGACCTAGCAGACCCTCTTCAGACTACAGACCACGAGTTTGTCAACCCTGATAAAGAAGACCAAGGCTGTATTTGGGGGAGAAAAAAAGAAAGATCTGGAGAGTTCAGAATATAATAAAACCAAACCCACTGCCAGTGACTTGATTCCAACTAATGGCAACCCCATGTGTTTCAGAATAAAACTATGCTCCACAGAGTTTTCAATGGCTGAATGTTTTGGATGTAGATCACCAGGCCTTTCTTCTGAGGCACCTCTGGGTGGGCTCAAATATCCAACCTTCTAGTTAACAGCTGAATATGTTAACCATTTGTACCACCCATGGACTCTCTTAGGATTGCTAATATCAACATCCACATATCCTATCCTCACTCAACACCAGTGATTTTTATAAAATGCAAATTTGCCTTCTCTCTATATCTCACTGCTATAGAGTTGATTCCAATACACGGTGACCCCACAGGACAGAGTAGAACTGCTTTATAAGGTTTCCAAAGCTGTAAATCTTCATGGAAGCAGGCTGCCACATGTTTCTCCCCATGGAATGAATGGTGGGATCAAACTCAACTTTTTGGTTAGCAGCCAAGCATTTAACCACTCTACCCTGTATAAACTCTCCAAAGGCTCAGAATAAAATTCAAATTTCCTTAACTTTAATAATACCTTCCTGCAACCTGCCCCTTCCCCAAGCTCTCCATCCTCCATCCTCAGCAACTTACTCTATCATACCACTGTGGGGCAGTCATATGACTTTTCATTCCTCCAGCACTCCTACCAGACTAGCAGGACCATGTCTTTCCACCTCATGGTTCCTAGTTCTAACAGTATGGTTGGCACACAAAAACCCTCACACACTTATTGAATGAAAGCAAGGCACAGGTAGAATCCAAAGACATGAGACAGAACTGGTCTATTTATCACTGCACTGTTGTTGCTGGCCCTGACTCATGGCAACCCCATGCACAACAAGATCAGACTGTTGTGATCCATAGGGTTTTCACTGGCTGATTTTTGGAAGTAAATTGCCAGATTGCCAGACCTTTCTTCCCAGTCTGTCTCAGTGTAGTCTGCTCAAACCTGTTCAGCATCATGACAACATGCAAGCCTCCAGTGACAGACTGATAATGACAATGGCCAGAAATTAAACCTAGAACTCCCACACGGAAGGCAAGAATCCTACTACTGAACAACCACTGTCCTCTATCACTCCATTAAACTAGGTTCTCTCAAACAAGGCCCTCTAGGCCTTAATGAGATAAAGGTGGGCCCATGCTAGAATTACACCCACACAGACTAGAGGTCATACCCTGAAATTTTGAATCTTGACCTGCAGAACAAACTGAGCTAGGGTGTAGCACACCTTAAAGACTAAATAAAATAAATTTCCTGCCCCTCCTGATACCAGGCTTCACTCCATCTGTAATTATTTATCACTGAAGCTAAATTTAATTAATTAACATTATTTTACATTGTCCTCAAGTCCAAATAAATTGTATCAAGGATTATTGACAAAATTAAATTGTATGATCGAAGTCCCCATATTTACCTAATTTACATTTAAATCATACTCAGTTTTCTTATGCCAAAGACAGAGTTTTTCAACTCATTATTATTGTGACCAATAAAAAAAATCCACGTGCCCATACACAATCTCTGACTGTGAGGTCCATATTGAAAAAACTTGGATATTTAGCCTGAGTCCCCAGAAGAAATAGCCAACTACATCATCACCACTCAGCTCCACCTAAAAAGTCACTGAATAAAAGCTTAAAAGAATAAATCCACCCTCTTTAAACCCAAAAAAACCAAACTCACTGCCATGGAGTTGATTCTGACTCATAGTAATCCCCACTGGGTTTCCGAGGCTATAAATCTTTACAGAAGTAGATCACCCCATTTTCCTTCTGTGGAGCAACTGGTGGGCTTGAACCGATGACCTTCTGGTTGGCAGCCAAATGCCTCATCTACTATGCCACCAGAGCTCCTTCCACCCTCCTTAGGGCCTATTTTTATTACTTTTATAAAACAACTTCCTCTTGGGGCAGCCCATCCCACCCTAAACAAGACCCTTCCTCCACTCCTCCAGGGTCCCTGAGTGGCACAAACGGTTTGCTAGGCTGGTAACCAAAGGGTTGACAGTTTCCAGCGGAGCCTTGGAAAAAAGGTCTAGCAGTCTGTTTCAGAACCAAGAAAACCCTATGGAGATTAATTCTACTTGATAAACCATGAGGTCACCATGAGTAAGCAACAGGTTTTTCCCCCACCCCCACTTCTTCACAAGAAGAACTCCTTCTCAACCTTTGAAGGCCCAGAGCTCCAAAACCTATTATGTAAATGCAAAGAGGGTAGTGATCTTTGTCCATTTTGTTCCTGGAGTTCCTGAGAGTATCCCAAACACCTAGAACACTGCTTGGCAAAAACTAGGCCCTCAATATTTGTTCAAAGCCTGACAGAATGACTGGATGATAAATATACTACCCCAGGCCCACCAGCCACACTCCTCAGAAGGAAGGTTGGGTAATCTACTTCTGTCATGATACCACCTCGGAAACTCAAGGAGGGGGTCGCTTTGAGTCGGGTCCCACTCAATGGCAGTGAGTTTGGTTTTGCTTTGGAGCCTGCCCCCAACATATTGCCACTGAGTTGATTCTGACTCATAGTGACCCTATAGAACAGAGTAGGATACAGGCTGTAAATCTTTATAGAAGCAGACTGCCTCATCTTCCTTCTGCTGTGCAGCTGGTGGAGTCAAACCACCAACCTTGTGGTTAGCAGCCAAATACTTTAACCACTACACCACCAACCTGCTCCAACAACAAAAAATTCACTGCCATTGAATCAGTTCCAACTAATAGTAATCTTGGGTTTCCAAGATGGTATCTCTACAGAAGTAGATTGCCCAGTCTTCCTCCTGAGGAGTGGCTGGTAGGTTTGAACTGCCAGCCTTCTGGATAGCAATCAAATGCTTTAGGCACCATGCCACCAGTCCCAAGTACTCCTCTAATCTTCAAGTGAGTTCCCATAAAGGAACTAAATGTTTGTCCTCCAAAACAATCTCCTCCCAGCCACCATGCAAAACTCCAATGTGGTAGGAACCATAGCTTTGGTGAAAACCCACACCAGGAACCACATTCTTAATTTTTGTTCTGCAATTTTGAATGGTTCCAAGTACAAGGTCCTTAAATTTACAATTAAAATATAATACATGTGTCTCCTGAACACTTAGTAATTCTCCAACATAGCTGAACATTACAATATTCTGGGGACAAGGAGACACCTAGACCACACTCCAACCCAATTAAACTGAGCCCAATTAAATCAGTTCCTCCAGGTGGGAGGCAGGCACCAGTATTTTACAGGTAGTTCCAATGTGCTGTCATGTTTGAAAACCGCTTCTATACTGAACTTCAGGCCACCCCTTGGGCAACTGCTTGGTATTCTGGATTTGCAGGGAGTTGACCTCTGGAAAGGCCCTAAGAACCTTCAGAGACATGATCTTTTACAGTGTTTTTCCACCAAAATTCTCATCCCCAACCTGCCAAGTCACGTGGAAGGAGATTCCCCGTTGCAAGGCGTGGCAGCCACCTACCTTAAGGCTGCAGGCTTCCTCCTTTAGAGAAGCCATTTCTTCTAGAGAGGGGCTGGCAGAGCGCAGAGGCGATCCCACTGAAGAAAGGAACCCCTCAGTGCCCCGAATCACGCAGCCTTTGGAGGCGGTCCCGCCCACAACTGGGGCTGAGGAACGAGAGGAGTAGGAGGAATTTCCGCGGCAGGATGAGCCCCAGGATAACCTCTGCGTACAGGCCACATCGTCCTCCTTCTTGGCCTTCAGGCGACTGGGGTTGCAAGCCCCTCCTGAACGCGATGCAGAGCTGACAGCTGGCTGGCTGGAGGGGGCCACATCATTGGGCTCCCGGAGGCAGCTGCGTTTGCTGGGACACCCTTCCGAAGTGTTGCTCCAGTGGTACTTGACCTTCCGCCGCTCCGACGCCATGGGAACCTGCCAGGGAAAGAGATTGCCTGGATTCCACAACCACCCTCCCTAGCTGGCCCACCTCTGACTACCACCCCCGAAGGAAGGCAACCCGTAAGGCCAGAGCCAGGGCTGGCCTCACTGACCTTTCCCCCTTCTTTCCACCACCCATCACAGTTATCAGGGTTCAAGAGATGCCAAAGCGCTTTGGAGGTGTCGAAAGGAACCAAGATTTACGAAAGGCTTCGGTTTGGCTTCCAAGACCACAACGTGCTTCCAGGGTTACCAATCGCCTCAGTTTGCACAGCTTCACTTCAGAGACGTGAAAGGGCTTCCGGTACTACAGAGCGCCTCGATTTAGTTTGGAATACAAAGCCCTTCAGAGACGTCAGAGCGCTTCTAAAGACTACAAGGAGCTCTAGAAGCTCGCGTGGCGCCCACACCCGCAATTCTCTGGAGGCGCGGGCCGCAGGGGGCGGGCGGAGGGCAAGGCCGCCCAACGCGCAGCAGCCCGATCCACTCCCGCGGCCCTGCCAAGCCTCCAGCAGAAGGGGCCCGAGCCGCCTTCAAGAGCCCGCGGCACCGCAGTAAGGCGCCTCAGGGGCCCCGCCCAGCCGCCCCTTCCGTCCCTGAAACTGCTGCCTAGACTACGGCCCCACGCCCGGACGTCCCTTGTGGCTGTCTACTCGCCGCCCACCCAACTCCTGAGGCTTTGGCCTAGCCTCCGCCGGAGCTGCCTGCACAAGGGTTTCCGCTGCGCCCCCGAAAGAGCCCTGCGGCCCGCAGCCGGGTGTGTGCGGGGGTGGAGCCTGCGCTGAACAGAGGGCACCCATTGCTCTAAACCGCAAGGGGCGGGACTGAGAACAAGACAGAGCTCGCTTCTTGGTCAGAGGGCTTAGAGGCGGGACCTTACGCCTTTACGAAACTCGTCCATTGGTCGAAAGCCAGACCGGGCGAAGCCACTCACCTGGGCACAGAAAGCGCGAAAGCCGGGTCGACTTGCCTCAGGCCCGCCCTATGTTAGAGTGGGAACGTCCGTGAGCACCCTTTTCCCGAAGGGTGATCGGTACGGGTATTGTGCGCGTCCGGCTCCGAAATGCTCACCGATCCCACACCAAACCCTATGCTAAGCAACACATCACCCTGTTTTACAGTCAAAAAAATAGGCGCAGAGATACCAAGTGACACATCTAGAAGGTGGAAGAATTGAAATTAGAAGTTCGGGGGGGAGGGGAAGGCGAGGGGAATATATTTATGGAGCTCTGGTAGCATAGTGCCTAAGGCACTTGACTGCTAACCAGGAGGCTGGTGGTTCAAACCCACCAGCCACTCCTCGGAAGGAAGATGGGGCAATCTGCTTCCGTAGTGATACTGCCTGGGAAACCCAAGGAGGGGTCTCCATGAGTCGGGTCCAACTCGACGGCACATAGCAACAACAACAACATATATGATATATGTGTATGTCATATGTATGTATATATTATATATACATATATAGATATAGATACATGCCTGGCAAAAACACCCAAGTCAAATGACAAGGTACAGACTTAAAGATTTGCAACATACGACAAAGGGCTTACTATATAGAAACTCTTGTACATTTCTATATTAAACATACGTTTCTATTTGGAGTGTTAAAATGGACAAGAGGAATGAACCACTAGTTCACAGAAACAAATTACAAGAGTCTTAAACATATGAAAAGATAGCTCCATCTCAATCATTTAAAAAATACAAATCACCCAGTAGTTTCACAATGATCAGTGTGGTAATACAGCACATGGCTAAGGATGTGGAGATGCACACTCCCTTATACCAATAAGGGACTAGAAGATGAGCCACGAGGTTGGAAAGAGCTACAATAACTAATTGATCATCATGAAGGTGGTGTGGAATGAAGCAGTATTTCATTCTCTTGTACACAGGTTGCTATGAGTTGGAGCCAACTCAATGGTAACTAACAACTTTGGAAGGCAGCAAGAATGAAAACAGCATCAATTTCCAGCAATAGGAGCTGATCATATAATATTATTAGGGACTAGGCATACAGTGGAACACCAGATTGCAGTGCAATGAACCACTTAGTAGCCATGGTCTTTGTGATTCCCACCAGATGACTGCATGGGCTATGCAAATGTGAGGTTCTTGTGGCCCAAAAAGGGTATTGTATAGCTTGCTGATAATGCAAATAAGGTACATGACACCCTTGTAGGTGTAGGACCATGGAAATAAGGTGTATAAAAACCTAATGTGGGGTTGGTTGGTTTTGCCATCTTGTTGTTGTTGTTGTTATTTGCCATCGAGTCGGCCCCAACTCATAGCGACCCCTCCTTGGGTTTCCGAGGCAGTATCACTACGGAAGTAGGAATGCCCAACCTTCCTTCCGAGGAGTGGCTGGTAGGTTTGAACCGCCAGCCTTCTGGTTAGCAGTCAAGTGCCTTAGGCACTATGCTACCATCTTACTAGGCCTGAAATGAGCCATCTCAGAGGTAGAAAAGGGGAACTCACTACCATCAAGAGAGAAGAACCAGGAATGGAGCACATCACTGGACCTGAGATTCTTGTGCTGAGATGGCAGGGAGATGAGGCAGAGAGACAAAGGCAGCAGAACCAAGAGACCTGCATGAGACAGAGGGGTCTCCCTGCCCCCAAATGAGTGAGAAAGCTGAGTGCTTCGGGCAGGAAGCTTGCTGTCAGACTGGGTAGAATAGTGCCCTCTGGACACCTACTCAGCAAGGCTGGAAGAGCTTAGTAACACTGGCCCACGCAGAGCAGATACCAAAGCCAGAGTGTGACTGTGACTGTGACTTGGCTGAGAAGAAATCAGTTTGCTATAGCTCCTCAAATGTAGGATGGCTCCAGTGGCTGAGCTGAAAGAAAGAATGGGAAATGGTCAAGATGAGGTCAGAGTGTTGGGCAGGGGTTAGACAATGTGGGGCCTTGTAGTACATGGTTGTATAACAAAGTCATTTTGATTTTTCTGGAATCCAGATTCCTGGATTCATGGAATTGGAGTGACTCACCCATCCATTCACCTTTGGGTGTCCTTTTGGTGCCTCTAAGGAGCTGGTTCCCTGGAGTCACCTTCAGGTCAAAAAATAGCCTAGTAAGGGGCTAAATGAGACTGTTTTGCCTTAGGCATTAGGCTGGGTTAGAAAATTATCTTGTACAGTGAATTTTGAGAAGCAGGAACCCTAGGGTCAGGATAGAGTCTGTGTTTCAGGATGTATGGTATGTCTTCAGTGACTCTGTAACCAACCCTGAAACTGCACTGTGTTTGATATCATCTGCTGATAAATTAACATAAAAATGCCTATAATCCGTTTTCACTGTCCTTGCTTCCCAACATGCATTGCAGCGAATTACTTAATATGGCTCTTTTAGCCATGGCCTTTGGGACTCTTTGTGTGTGTGTGTGTGTGTGTGTGTGTGTGTGATTTGGGTGAAGATTTACAGAGCAAGTTTACTTTCTATACAGCGGTTCACATATACTTTGTCTCATGTCATTGACCACAGTTTACCACAATGCAACAGCTCCCCTCCCACTTCCTCCCCAAAGATACCACTTCCCAGTGTCCGTCCCTCCATACTCTCCTGCCCCCTGAGCTGTCTCCCTGTGCATAAGCAGCCCTTCCTTCTCCCATGATTGTTCTCTCCAGGGCGTGTGTCTACTTGAGGTAAATGTTTAACTCACATGCCTGTACTTAGTTTGGCTGGAAACCACAGGTGTGGGTTCAATTCCAGACCTGAAGGGTAGCTAGGGGCCATAGTCTCAGTGGTTCCACCAGGCTCCATTGGACCAGCAAACCTGGTCCCAACCATCTTTTTTTTTTTTCCCTCCAAATGATTTTGAGTTTTGTTCCACATTGTTCTCCCTCTCTATCCAGGATGGCCTTTGGGACTCTTACCAGATGATTGGGTAGAACTATAAAAATGTGAGGTGCTTGTGGCCCATCAAGGGGACTAGATAGCTTATTGTATCTTACTTTTTTTGGTTTCTATATATATTTTCTTTTTTTCAACTTGTCTAAGAATATTCCCTCTCCTGCCCTCCCATCCCTGGTAACTAACAAAAGAAGTTTCCTTCTATGTATAAACCTTTCCTTGACTTTTTATAATAGTGGACTAATATAATATTTGTCCTGTGATTGACTTATTTCACTCAGTATTTTGTCCTCCAAATTTACCAACTTTATGCAGTGTTTTGCCGATCATTATTCTTTAGTGTTGCATAGTATACCATTGTATGTATGTATCATGGTTGGGTTATCCATTCCTCCATTGATGTGCTCCTAGGTTGTTTCCATCTCTTTGCTATTGTGAATAGTGCTGCAATGAACATGGGTGTGCATATATCTATTTGTGTCCTGGCTCTCACTTCTTTAGGATATATACTGAGTAATGGGATTGCTGAATCAAATGGTATTTCTATTTCCAACTTTTTAAGGAATTGCCAGACTGATTTCCACAGTGGTTGTATCATTTTACAGTCCCACCAATAGTGTATGAGAGTCCCAATCTCTCCATATCCTTGCTATCATGTGTTATTTTCTGTCTTGTAGAACTTAGCTATTAGTACTGGGATGAGATAATATCTCATTGCTGTTTTGCTTTGCATCTCTCTAATGGCTTATGACCTCAAGCATTTCTTCGTGTATTTGTTGGCTGCCTGAATAACTTCCTTGGTGAAGTGTCTATTCATATCATCTGCACATTTTCTTTTTAATTTTTATTGTGAGTTGGGTGAAAGTTTGCAGAGCAAATTCAATTTCCATACAGCAGTTCATACATTTTCTTTCATGATATTGACTGCAATTCCCTACAGTGTAACAGCTCCCTTCCCACTTCCTCCCTGTAGTTACCTCTTCCCTGTATCCTTCTTTCCTATGCGTTCCTGTCCCCAGAGTTATCTCCCTGTGCAAGCACTGACCTTCTGTTCTTCCACAGTTGACCACTCTAAGCTCTAAGGAGTGTATCTACATGATGTAAATGTTCACCCTATATGCCTATCTGTTATTTGGCTGGAAGCCACTGGAGTGAGTTCAATTCCAGCCCTGAGGGGTAACTAGGGACCATACTCTCAGGGGACTCACCAGGCTCTATCAGACCAGTAAACCTGGTCTTTTATTTATGATTTTTTGAGTTTTGTTCCACACTGTTCTCCCACTCTATC